TTCCTAATATTCGTGGTTTTCGTTACGTAAAATGGGGGGGGAAACGACACCCTAGATGAACGGTTTCGCTGCTGCTCAGTCACCTCATGCGGCAACCCAACTTTTCAGCTTTTCACATCCCCAGTTTACTTCGGGTGCCACAATATTTTCATATACCTACTGCTAGTCCCACTGCTTGCTATAGCCGGTTAGTCCAAGAGCCGTCTTTTACGGGAATTTCAGAAGGCCGTCGTCAACTGCAGAAGCATCTCGTTGGACCCGCCTCACCTCATAGGCCATTCTTCTAACAGAACTTTCTAGCAAGGCTGTGCTGCGGCTTTGATTGTTCCTCCCGTATTATTACCATCCTCCAGCGTTATTTCGACACGTCTATGACACCACTTAAGAGTTCAGCCAACTCAAGAAGAACTTGCTAAACCACTGGTTTGTTGGCACTTCGTTACATTATATAAGAATGCTCCCAAGATGACGAGTCAAACTGAAATCAATCATACTGGAGGAAAGAAGATAGAATAGACTTACCAATGATATATAGGGCTTCAGGTCTCAAAGGGAATTTAGGTATAAAATTATTCCAAGTACGCACGGCATCTCAAAACCCGCATTACTTCCCGAACAACCAAGTATAGGTGCTTATTCAAGTTAGGTTGGTCTCAGCATCACCCATTTGAACATTCCTCCTCCTTCAGCTAAGCTCGAACAGTAATGTCTCTATACTAGAATGCTCATTCCATGATCTCTCTCTCTCTGGAAGAGGAAAGATGGCATTAGATGAAGTATGTAGGTCATCGCAGAAACTCTCGAAAGCAACAGAGCATTAAAAACCGTTTTACGTTTAATAAGGACTGAGGAGGTGTTCGAACTTTCTAGCTCCCAAAAGCTTTTTGGTCTGACAACGCGAGCATATCGCCGTTTTAATGAACATTAAAAAGCGCAAAATCGGTAGTTTCTATTGCGTTTTTGATTTTGTGATGGGAGTAGCTTATTCCACATTGACCCGTAATCTGAGCCCTTAGTGTGCGCCGAGACCAGTTTGATCTAAGAAGTTATGACAAGTTTGGGCCATGCTCTGCTGATTTTAGCGTAATGGACTACCGCACGCGTATTCCGGTACTCCAGAATTGAGACAAGCAGTCTTCAGGTGGGCGGTCGGAACGCGATCTCTCGCCCGATTCCCTACTTGGAAAGGTTGACGACGTTGAACTGTTCAGCCCCTAGTCGAGAACGTAGGAAGTGTGACTGGAACAAAAACTCACCTTGGAAAGCACCTAGGGAGGGAGCTGAAGTGGGCGTGGTCGGACTCGGCCGAGGGGATTGTAATCGTCCGACCACGCCCACCCTGCTGGGACTGTTGCTCTAAAAGGTCTGCACGAAAGTATATTGCTGACTTGTTTTGTTTGTTAACTGCTGTTTTAACGCCGCAGTTCGCGTTGCGAATGTTTCACAAGAATGCTGGGTTGTGAACAAAACTTTCGCCCCAGGCGGGACTAGAACCCGCACCTCTCGCTTTCCGGGCAAGTGCGCTACCAGTTACGCTACCGGGGCACCATTTCATCCCAACTCAGCTTTTCATGATATGGCCCAGCATTCCTTCAAACAATTGCAACTGAAACTTCGACGTAACACAGCAGTTAAGGAATAACAAGTCAAAATTAATACCTATTAGAGCTGCGACCCTGTTATTCTCTGCCGATATCCGCTAACCGACTCTTCACGTCAGACGTGTAATGTGCTATGGTAGATGCAACATAAAATACTGAGAAAGGGTCAACGGTGCTCGGTAGAGTAAGCTGTAGCGCTCTTGCCGGTAAGCGAGGGGTGCGTGCTCAAGTCCTGTCTGGGGCGAAAGTTTTGTTCATAATCCATAATCTATAACTTTTTGTGAAATATCTGCACGAAGAACCTCCATGGCTTTGAAGTGGAGCTTGAGTAAGCGCGCGTTCCACGTTCTTTTTACTCGTTTCATGTCCGCGTTCTTGCTGTACCCGTATTTGAAAACATTTTTTCTACGGGCGCGATGAGATGGCTCTGACTAGGCACTTTGTCATCCCACGATCGCACTCCTTGTAACAGTGGATGTAGTGGGCCTCAGTAGTATAGAAACTGGCATTCATCTGTCATCTCTCTCATTTATCGTGCCGTTAGTCTTCGAGTGCATCCATTGAGTGACAGCAACGACTTCATTAATCCTGGTCCCTGATTCAGTACACCAGTGGATTCTTCTTGCGCGAAGGACATGAAGCATCCATTCTTTCGGAAACCTTTACTGAAGAAGTTCGTTCACCGACCCTGCCTTTTACGTTCCAAGAGACCACTCTGGTCCTGTAGTTACCGCAACATCGCATGAAGTGTCCCTATTATTGATTCTTCTGAATAAGAAAGGCAAAGGACCAGATCTTGGAAATAGCGAAGATTTGAAGTGAAGATGTTTCTGCGCTTCCATGTATCGAGCTTTCTTGAGCATCGTATTCTACACGGCGCATGTTATGCAGCTCATCGCCGTACATCCCGTTTGCGTGATGAACATGCTTCGAGGCACTGCAGGAACTGAGTAAGCACAGAGTCGGAAGTTCTTCTGCGACCAGGAACATATCATGTGGCGCACGCGCAAAGATATAAGGCGCTTCTGGCATGGCTTGTAGCGCAGTAGCCAAGAAATTATCGATCTCATGTATTCTACGTCGTTCATCACTAATTTCTCGATAGTCCCATGTTTCCGCTCCACTCGGTTTCTTCGTTTCGAGAGCCCGTTCAAGGGCGTGAATGGGTTTGACATAAAGTCATCTTCCAGTAATAGAGCCGTCTCTGTAAGCTTCTCCTGTGAGAGGAGTTCTCCCCATGCACAGTTTGAAATCGATCAGCACCTCACCGGGTTACTGGCCGTTGGCTTCCACCTTCATGATTTCCTGTTTCAGTCTACCCGTGGCGATCCCGAGAACAGCGTTGAAAATTTCGAACGAATTGGGGTCGCCTTTTCGTGCCGGTCTTCCCAACCCCTTGTACGTAGAATGGTAGATCTACCTGAAGCCGTGAAGCTGTTGAAGAGCTGACGAAGAAATGTTGCGTAATGACAAGGAATGCCCTGGCTGCCTTTACAAAGTCTTAACCGCTGAAGACCACACCCGATGGTGTCTCATTTTTCTTATCTCCGGAAACAAAAAAAACCTTTTTGCGTGGCTACGTGGAGTGTTGGGGTTCAGTGGGTCGGTGTCTGGGCGTTTTCCCTATAAATCACGGCATTCATAGGCGTGCATGTGTAGTTCTTGTCGGACACTCTCCACATGGTCGTGCTCTCATGGAAGCAAGTTTCCAGCATCATTATTTGCTTCTAGAAAATTGCGACCGGATCCATTTACAGCGTTCTTATAGGCTTCGAAATAGCTAAAGTTCGAACGGAATCCGAAACGTAGTGAGTTAAAGCTCAAGAACAAGAGGGCACGTGATCTTACATTTGAGAAAACGAGCAGCGCTGTGAGCAAAACCAAATTGCTGGGCTGCTCTCGTGGCCCATCGCTCTTCTTCCAGCTTCCCGATGATTTTTCTTCGTGTAAAATCACCCGCTATCTGTGAAACCTGATGTATGAAGACATCACTACAATTCAAACCTCTCGTCCGCAAGGCCAATCTCGTTGACTCAAAACTGAAGTGACCTGCTCCCAGCAGTTTCAAACCCATTCAATTGAATTTGTCTAAGTATGTCTGTTTTTGTCTTCTCCGTCCTTAAAGGAATCTTGCGCGGAAAATTCTTGCACTCTTTCCTAACATGAATATGTCAGTTGTGATCACTGGAAATAGCACACAAAGTTTCACGCATGAAGATTCGGTTTCTGAAGAGAAACAAACGTACAAAAACTACACGTTATGGACCATCGAAGGACCAGGAGGCAGAGCCAGGCGAGGCATGGAAAGAAGACGGCGTTTGGCCGGCTACGTACCAGGCGACGCAATGAGAGAATCGGGTTAAAGCGCGCGATTTCGGAGAGTGGAGACAAATCGATCGATGGAATAGGATGGAGTAGAAGTGTAAGATGTGAATGCAACGAAGCAGAAGGCCAGAAAGAGCTTCTAGTGAATGCACTCCAAGAACCAAGTTTGAGCATCCCCGTCGCCAGCATTGAAAGACGTCCGTGGGCAATTCGAACGCGTAGCAGCCTTTTCGAGTTTTCGAATTTCTAATCAAAACGAAAGCAATACTTCAGTTCTTTTCACTATTATCGTGGATAATGAGTCTCAAGCCAGTGATTTATGGCTGAAATAGAATCATGATTTTTCCGCGCAAGATTCCTTTAATTTGCAGCACCGTATACGCTTCGCATAGCCGCTGCGACCGCTGCCACTCCTATTAGTTGCTGCATGTGTGGCGTCTGTGCCTTCTCGCGAACGCGCTCTCTCGTTTTTCGCTCTCCTAGCAGCGCTGTCTTTTTATTGTACCACGGTCAACCGCTACAGGAAATTTTCAGTGTTTCCTCGATTTTGTTGCTATTTTGGTGCTTTTTTGCTTTTTTCATCAACCTTCCCTCTTTGTACTTCATGTATAGTTCTCGGCCAAACTAACACACCAATTCGATCGCAACCAGTGCCTTCCAGAATTCCAACTCTATGCGAACGATAAGCGCAAAGTATCCATTCCCTCGACTACACATATGGAGCACTAATTCCTTTCCTGGAATTTCTGCAATAGTGTATGTCGTATGGATGGATGTACTTTTCAAATCTCATACAGGTGAGCCAATAGTTATGGCCTTGCCAGTTCTGCTAAACTGAAGGTTTATGATGAAAATGAGAAACGAACACACATTTTTATGATGACGATAACAGGAAGGTTAAATGGCAAAGGAGATTCGCAGCTGCGTGGACGACGAGAAAGCTAAACATCGGAAATCGAATACAAAAATAGATTTGAGTCAATGTCGTGCGGGTTACTAGATACGAACCGAACATGCGAATATCGAGCCATTAACAAGAAAAAAATAGAATAAAGAAAAATATGAGGGCCTCCTCTAGGCTGAGTTGCGAATTTTGTTCTTGGGCCCGTCTCCGGAGCCGTCGTTCGAGAACGGAGCAGAGTTGAGCATTGCAGCTGCTGTGAGATACTGGTGAAGATTGGCTTGAGGAATCTGGCCAGGAGAGGACACTGACTGGCCCAGCATGTGATGATGATGCTGACCACCGGGATGCATTGCTGGGCGATTGCCCATACCATAGAGATCGAGTGATTGCATCAGGGTGGATAGAAATCCTGGATCAGCTAGTGTGCACCTGAAAAACCTTGAGGTGTTACATTCGCACTTACACAATGTCAATAGATATCGATTGGTTCATCTTTGAAGCTCAAAGCGAGCAAATTTGAAGGGGGACTTACGAGAGAAGATTTTTGTAGTAGTCGTAGTAATTGCAGTTGACGTTGCTTGCTTGTACAGGATTGAGGGTCCCAAGCATCTGCGCGAGCGCTGCGTACTGTTCTTCGATTTCACTGGAAGAACTATTTTCTTCCGAGAAATACTTGTGAGACAGCGATGCCAATATTTGTTCAAAATAATCTTGAACGATCGAATGCCTCCACTTACTTCGTTTTACCGTGCTTAGCAGCTTCAGCGAATTGGGAAAGCAAGCGGGCTTGTTCTGTATAGGTCGAGTTTTCCATCATGGATGGGAGATGAGCCGCTGAAGCCGGACGGTGGAGCCTCTGAAGTTCGAAAGCCGGAACGTTCAAGAAACCCCGCAATGAGATAGAAAAGAACTTACGAAGAGCGACTTTGGTGGCAGAGGTTGGGCGATATGTTCCGTTGATGATAGAGAGCTCAATGAGCTGCTTACGCTTCAATTCATCTTTACCTTCTGGCTAAAAATTTTACGTCTTATATTTTTGTCCGAAAGGGACGGAATGGTACTACAGCAGACGCACGGGAGGGTGAAGGAGCTGATTGATCGCTTCGACCGCATTTCTCATCTTCTGGTGAGCCTTCTTCTCATAGTCTTCGCATTGAATCAGCACATGAAGAGGCTCCGTGTCATTGCTGCGCTCACGCCTGGTGCCGCTCTGAACACGTTGACTTGAAGAAGTTATAAATAGCCTCTGAACAAGCACTGAGAGGAACTGACCATGCGGCTGGAGCCACGACCGCGCACCATGATCTTGCATCCTGTGTCTTCCTCCAGCTGCTTTGCTGTCATGCCGCGAGGGCCCAGGATGCGACCGACGAAATTGTACTGTAAGGTGACATTCGGACATTTGAGGACTGTAAAGCTTCCGCGTTGCAAACCAAGGTTTCATCAGATTCGCTGGGAATGTCACTGCGCATTTAACTAATTCCAAAGGCCTACGGGAGCTTTCAAAAAGAAAAAGGGGTTCGTTTTTGAAAGGAAGGATGACACTTTCTGATACCCCTTGCTTGCTTGTTTCTGCCGTTGTTGCAGTTGTGGGTTCTTTCAGGGTACGCCATAACCCAGCATCGTAGGATTAGTGTGAAGTAGCAAAGAAGTAATGCAACGAGTTGCCGAGATCAACTATTAGCAAGTGGTTGCTTTGGGACGGATGAATCGGGTAAGTCATGCATATTATAGCATACAAGGTCCCCGCTTGCTGCGTTCACTGCTTCTACTCACAAGGGAAGGATACCAGGTCGAAGTGGCCATTTGTAACGAGACATACACCACTAGATGTGTTTTTGGACGCTGATCTCGAATCTGCTCTCCAAATCTGCGAAACGATTCTCTGAACGTAGTTATGAAGCGAGATAGTGCAGTGGCAGCGGCCCGGGCCGACGAGCAAGAGGTCGTGAGATCGACTTCTTGGCGAGTTCTCACTTTTGCTTTTCTTGAAAACATTGTTAAAGGACTCTTATCCATGCTAATCATCAGCGATTGCCTATCTACAAGTGGAAAGAGCTGGCGAAGAGCTTCGAACACTGTGCGCGTCATTTGCAAGTGACCGTCTCTGGCACCCGTAGCGCATGCGTCATGCACTTTCTTGCCAATAGATGTGATTTTCGTGTTCAGCGCATCAAACTACCCCTTCCGACAACTTTTGGTCCAAATCCAAAATTTTGACCTAAAGTCGAAAATGTGGGCACACACGACCGACAGGACACGGCAAATGACGCGCACAGTGTTCGAAGCTCTTTGCCAGCTCTTCCACTTATAGGATAGGCAGTCGCTGATGATTTAGCATGTTAAGAGCGAAGCAGGCATTGTTTAAAGTTGCAGCCCATCAACGCCCGTCGGCCTCGGGCCGCTGCCACTGCACTATCTCGCTTCATAACTACGTTCAGAGAATCGTTCCGCAGATTTGGAGAGCAGATTCGAGATCAGCGTCCAAAAAACACATCTAGTGGTGTATGTCTCGTTACAAATGGCCACTTCGACCTGGTATCCTTCCCTTGTCAGAAATAGTTGTTACAGCAGTCAATTCTGCCAAAACGCGAATATTGAAGTGTAAGACACTCACTCCTGGTATACAACGTCGAACAGCTCTGGGATAACGGTCGACAGGCACTAGGATCATTTCTGTGAGAACTACTTTCTCGCCACGTTCCTCTTCTGCCACGGCATCGTCCACGTGAACCTGGGCGGACATGGCCGCGACTACGCGAGCGATCTCTGCAAATGGTCACTGACATCGTGATCTGCAGGCTCTAGAATGAATATGGGACGACGTTGGGTTTGCACAAACGCTGTTTCGCGAGCAGGGCTCTTGCCTAATTCTACAAATTCTTCATATTTTTTCATATGGTCTTTCATTACTAATCTTCATTTGATGAATGACTCTACTTCGAACTAAAGATGGGGAATTTCATTATACAAGCTCTGACAGAGTAAGACCATCAGGAATGAGCCACTGTATACCGCCACCGAATTTTATCTACCTGCTTTGCGTAAATACCTAAAAATACTTTCAAAGCGGGCAATCGGTAGCGGAAGCTGGACGGCAGCGATGGATATGAGCTAAAGCTTATTCAGGAATGGGAGGAAATGATCGAGAGATCTGAGTTTTGGTTGAACGTTAGGCGATACACGTAGACAGGTGCAGATGCGCCTCCACATGATACCAAAATAACAACATTCGTAGAATGCTAAAAACAGGAGCAGATTTTTAAAGGCAAACCCCGGGATTGGCCCGACTAGTAGGAGGGATACCACTAGGGAAATTGCAAGGCCTGTAACTACCTAGATCACTCCAGCTTCGCCGCGAAAATTGCGCGGTTAGGGCGCTTTGAGGAGGGATACCAGTAGGTGAATTGCAAGGCCTGTAACTACCTAGATCACTCCAGCTTCGCCGCGAAAATTGCGCGGTTAGGGCGCTTCTAGGAGGGATACCACTAGGGAAATTGTAAGGCCTGTACCTACCTAGATCACTCCAGCTTCGTCGCAAAAATTGCGCGGTTAGGGCGCTAATCCTTACGGGCCTGCAACCATCGACCCCGTTCCAACGCTTCCCACCCACCGCGAGAGGTGGTGAGATCAGCGTGCTCTCTCAAACGACGTGCTCTCGCGTATTTTGTCTTCTTTGACCGCCCTGTCTCGCCATCGTACCACATCCGACCCTATTGAAGGTTAAGGCCTTAATTTCAGCGTTCCCAAAGATTTCTCTTGCTTTCCTTTCCACTTTCAGGTCGTTCCGCAGCTAAGCTATCACTACAAGCGCTGATAGCACCAGTTCAATCCCGGAGTTTGCCTTTAAATGGGAATTCATGTTGTTGGGCTGCGAATGGCCTATTTGAAGGCCGATGAGATCTCCGCGGGTGTGCAGACCTTCAACCACCACAACCGCCTAGCTTTCCTTGAGACTTCTGAAGATTTGAGTGAGCAGGAGTGACGTCACTCGAATGGATGTCCTGACTTAGCGATGGATTGGAGAGGAGCGCAAAACTTGCCTGGTCCTTCATCGGTTATCATGGACGTGAGAGCAAATGCTCAAGGTCACATACTGTCGAAAGGATTCCATAGATGTCTTTCATCAGTCCTTCATCATTCATTGTGATTAGATTAACCAGTGTAACCTCGTAAGACTCGGAGTTGGTGCATATTCAAAGATGAGGCCATTAGTCTGACTTTAAGAAAGGCAAGGCAACATGCTCATGTTGAACGCAGTGAATTATCCAAGGTAGTTGATATTGAAGCTGAACAGCTGCACAGTAGTACAGTAGAACTGGGTTGTTCTTATTGGACATAGCCGTATCATAATGTTCTTCAAAGGGTCTCTAATGGTAAGATCGTTCAGGCACCAACGCAGTCGTTCTGTGTCGGTTGAGTCGT